AGCTTCACTAGAAAACAGTTTTCTCATTGCCTCTCAAGGCTTCAAATCTTCCAGCACTTCACTGTACCATAATTACTCTACTTTTTACTCAAAATTTACACTTTGAACACTCTATTCCTCCCTATTTACTGTCATGAATTAAAGGAGTGTTTTCAAGACCTTATTGTCCATTTCCATAGTTTTAACAGAAAGATATTTCAGCTTAATTAAAGCATCTTCTTAATTCTCTACCTTTTCTGAAGCTTCTTTCCTGTCACTGGTAGTTTATAAAGTCTCTTTTCATGTTGATCACTCTCTTTTTCTCTCTCTGGATAAAAAGATTAATCCGCAAGTCTCATCTGAGTAATGAAAGAGTTAAAATCTTGCCCAGGCTGTTGTAGGTAGTTCTGTGGCCTCGGCCGGTGCAGGAGCTGGAGCCGTCTGCGATGGAAAGTTCCTCATGGCTGCTCTGGAGAGTGTAGGCGCCGCGCCCAGCCCGCTGCAGGTCCAGAGCCTCTCACCTTCTTCACTCAGCAGTTTCTAGTGAATTTAGTTACAGCAAAAAACCTGCAGCCGAGCCAGAGATCGGCTCGGCTCGGCCCAGCCAGAGCCCGGAGAAAACCTTCCGCAGGGCCCGCATCTCCTGGCCGGGAGACGCTGGGCCCAGCCCAGTCCCCGCCCGGCCGCATGGCCTGGGCAGGGAACGGGAGGCCTGGAGCTCTGCCGCCCTTCCCAGCCAGGAAACAAAGAGAACCAAGAGAGCTCTGATTTTACACTTTAAGGTAGGGTTCACAAGTTGATCCCACTTTTCAATGGCCTAAACTGCTGTCAATTCTCAGCAATGACCGATAATTGGTCAGGAGAAAAGACTCAGGCAGTTCCCAGCAACTTAAACTTTCTTAAAGGTAAAGTAACTCCATGACACCCACTTAAACTAACAGTTTGGAATTCTGTTGATAAAAATTAATAACTTTCTCTGAATTACTGCTTTTTGATTTTTGCTTTTTTCTTGCCAAAGTCTGAATGCTGTCATTGTACGGAAATAGCAAAAATTTCTTTGTTGACAGAAGCCTTTACTAGCCATAACTTCCCAGATTCCTGCTCAAGTGATATGCATAACCAAGATCCCTGAATACGCCTTTGAAATATCTGTGCTTCTGAAATAAGGAATTCAGATGCATTCAGGTACATTCTTTTCTAGAAAATGGATTAATAATACCACCAAGATCACTCTTACATAATAAGCCCAGCTTTCCAGGGCATTCCATGCCTCTATATGAGGACTAACTGTTGTGGGGCATAGTCCTATGGAAAAAACCAAGACATTCTTGATTAGTAATTAAATTGCAAATTAATTACACGCAGAATGGAAGCTTTCATGTTGTATCCATACTAATTAAGTCATGTGAGTTTTCTTGACTAAAGGCCTGTTTGAGGGAGAAGCAGTTCATATAATATTTTATTCTGTTTTCTCCATTTACTTTTTTTACATATAATTTATGTAATGTAATAGCTTAAGTTTTCTCTCTGAAAAACTAGACTGACCAACTACATTCTGAAGCCAAATAAACAGTTCTTCAAGGTATTTCTCTGGGACTAATACAAGAGAATTTACTTTTCTGGGTTATATGGACAGCTGTTGCAACATCTGTGATGATAAATGATCTTTTGTAAGTTCAGATATGAAGGTAATAATCTATGGGAGGATTATTCCACATGAATAAGCATTTATATTACAACAGGAAAGGAGATACCAAGCTATTCACAAGAGACTTACATTATTGAAATTATAAATTGTGTATTTCCATAAGAAGCAGTGATACTGTTTAATGTAAAATAAGTTGCATTGAATTATGAAAGAAGTTATTTTGAAAGCTTCTATTTTGAAAGCTAATAGGGTTTGTATTTGAATTTAGGTTTTTTATTTGTAAAATAAATATATTTTAAATAAATACATATTTTAAATAAATAAATAGGGTTTTTATTTTTAAGAACATTTAGAAAGCGTTCTAAAAATGTCCTTACAAATACTTATTTCTGGTATCTTGAAAAATATGAACTAGCATGTTTTTAAACAGATGCAGTTCTTCATGAAGTTATTGCTGAATTTCTGTGAATTCCATAAAATTCCAAATGCAATACAATATAGATTTTCTAGTCTGCCAAGGAAATAGGAGAGCCTATTTCAGTCAAAGTAATCACACTGTAGTCACAGAAGCCTTTGGTTTTTTGGAATTGTTTACTTACTAGGCAACTTTTTTGTAGTTAGAGTAATTTTTGTAGATAAAGTTTTGGTTGTGATATCTGTATTTTTCAGGATTGCAGTTCCCTGATAGGTTAATGAGAAGTTATCTCTGCATGGAGGTTTAGATTATGTGAAGTGCTGTGGTCATCAACCTGTTTCATTGTCAGGGCAGACTGACATTGATTTTCTGCATTGGCCATGTGTACGTTCTATATTTTATTAATGCAAATATCTGCATTACTGTACTTCCAGGAAGGGCTTGAATGCCTTGTTATTTGTACATGGAAAATAAAATTTTAAAACTTCTGGCGTTTAGAAGCTGAAAATTTTGGTCCCATTGAGAATGTTGTGAAATACATCTGGTAGCTAGCCTGTTGTGGCAACTTGCAACGTGGATACAGGTGTCTTGGGTTGCAAAGCAAGATGTAACCAGAAGTATGTATTTTATTACCATCTGTTAAAACCAGGTGGGGCAGTTTTCTTTATCTCTTCCATGACCCGTCCTCCCTGCAGGGAGATGTCATCTGTTAATGGGCCATTGAGTCTCACTGCATGACTGATAAAATTACATCATCCCATTGGGAGATGCTCCACCCAGGGGGAGCAGCCAAGCATTCCTACCTGAATATAATTGGAGACTTGAAACACCACAGTCAGCCTTTCTCCATTGGATTCCCAGAGGAAGACTGTAGCTGTCTATACCACTAGACCTGCAGAAGAAAATTACATTGTTCTTCAGGATCCTTGCTTTTGCAGAACCACATCTGTCACTCCAGGAGTACTGCAGCCACCATTTAATTGGACTGCTACCAAAACCCTGACTAACAGGGTGTCAGGCTGTAGTCTGACTCTGTCAGTGGTTTGTTGGTTTTTTTTTTTTTGAGCTACTGCATTTTTATTTTAGTTTTCCTAGTAAAGAACTGTTATTCTTAGTCCCATATCTTTGCCTGAGAGCCCACTGATTTCAAGATTATAATGATTTTGGAGGGAGCGGGGAGGGGCAGTGTTTACATTTTTTCCATTTCAAAGGAGGTTCCTGCCTACCATAGCAGACACCTGTATTTTCAAACCAAGACAACAGGCAATCCAGAAATGCAATGGACAGTCTTCATATAAAGCATGGAAATATGATGGTCAGAGTCAAGCTGGAATTCACTGCCTGCCAGGCTTGAGCTAGAAAGTCTCACATCACTGAACAAACTGACATGTTATTGCAGATGCTTTCAAGATGGAGATGATTTTCTCTAAGGAGCTCTCCTTAAAATCTCCTGTGCTGATTCTCAACAAGCAAAATAAAGATTCAGTATTTCGCTTGACATTTGATTTGAAGCTTGAATTTGTGGCATATGTCTGTGAAAATTATTTGCATGTGTTTGTTTTATATTGTGTCATTGCAAAATAACATATTTGTAACCTGTATGGTTAGTCAAGTGAAGAGTCATGGAGAGCATTTAACTAATAAAATCCATTTATTGTTTCACGTTTGAGTTACTGGGAAAATGTAATTTCTGTAAGTGCCTTGATAAAGTTAATGTCTTCTTAAACACAAGAAAAGGGAGTTACACATCATTAAGTATAAACATTATGTGAATTTTGCTATTCCTTCCACAGGTGTTTTCCATTAGAATATGTCTGCCACGTTCAGACCTATTTTAAGTAAATTCACAAGGAAATGCCTCATTACATGTTTCTTCTGGAAGGGCTGATAGGTGCTTTTTACTTTATAAAACAGTCTAAAAGTTTTCTATTCTCCAAATGAAAAAATATTTTTCAGAACATAGTACTGCAGTTTGGTACTGTATTTCTAGCTGCCATTAGAGACACTTGAAATTAAAACATAATAAAATTTGTGAAACAGAAATGACTGTTTCTTAGATATGCTGGTGAAAGGGGAAATTGCCTGCTTAGCTGTGTAAAAAAATTGTTTGTTATATGCACTTATATTAATATGAAACTCTACTGTAGCACATTCTTCTTGGTGATCTTATAAAATGTTATTGCGTTGATACTGTATTTTCAGGTTATAATAGATCATCTCTTAAATCACTTTTAAATAATGTACTGACTTGCTAGCAATTATATCATGACCAATACATAGCATCAATAATTTCCAGCAATCATTTTTAGTTTTGGGAAATAGCTTAGCTCTTACAGACAAAACCCACATCCTGCAAATTCTTTACTTGATACAGAGAAAAAAAAAATTGTTTGTGATTATGAATAGTTCTATATCTGCATATAGAATACATGGTCAATTCAGAGTTCATTTTCTCCCTGAAACAATGTTTAGGATGACAAGAAATTGACAAGAAAGCAGCATTCTCATTTGTTCACATTTCCTGGCACCTGAGGGTCATGATACCGCAAATGGTTGAAAGAAGTACATTTGCCTTTTACTTTGTTTACATACACATACTGAGGTAGTGTAAGACTAATTTAAACTCTGCAACTGTTTAAGTGAAATAAAGTGTGGTGTTGCTTAGACCATTTTTATCAATTGTTTAAGTGTTGTTTCATTTTTCACCTTTCTTCCCAATACTTTTTAGACTGAAAGAAAATACTAATTTTTCAGGAAACTAAATATTTCTTATAATTGTAATTTTTTTCCATGATATGAAATCACTAAAAGGAGTGCTGTGAATGTAAATTAACTGAATCTACATTTTAAGTAATTTTGTAAGTAATTGACAAGTCTAAGTGTCTTGGATTAATTATTTTTGTCTGTTTTACTCACTGGCTGTGTTTATCAAAATATGTCTTTTTTTTTTCCCAATAGCATCAGCGACTTCTCGACATTTTAGAAGCAGAAAAGGAAGTATTATCACAAAAGCTAGAAGAAGCTATGATGCAGCAGTCGGAAAAGCACAAGGTATTGCCTTTGTTTACCAAAACAATAAGAGATTAACATCATGGAGTTTATTGGGAATGGTCCTGTCACAATTACTGACAGGAAGATGATGCTTTCTTAAGTACTTTGACTCTTTGAAATTATTTTTAGCCACTCTTTTACTGTCTGTTGCAGTTTAATTTTTCATAACATTTGCAGGAAGTGCTGGACAAATGTTTGGATGAGGAAAGATGGAGAAGCAAGGAGGCTCTGGCAGCTGCTGCAAAGGTATTTCTCATTAATTAGTAGACATGCAATGTGGATTCCATGTGTGTCATTTGAAATGCCAAGTTCAGACACTCACTTTTGTTTCGTAACTATGTTTATCAAGCTCTGCATTCTTATCTGCGTTTAGAAGAAGCTGGTTCTACTGAAAATGGACATATCTACTATATCCCATGCAGAGATGTAGCTTCATTCTCTTGAACAATAGCCTCTGAATTGTTTAGAACAGGAAGCCACAATATTGTCGTTCAGTTGTTAGTGATACCTAAATATCTGTTTTTGTGGTCTTTTGACATCAGTGCATCTTGATTTGAAGAGCTGGGTTGTAGGGTCAACAGATGATCTTAATAACACAATTAGCATTATGTCCTAATTAACTTTCATTGAATATGGTCATCTTAAGTGAGGAGAGAACTATTCTTAAAATCTTATACAAACAGGGACAGTTTACTGGGTTTTGAATTATTTTATATAAGCTGATGTTTGGATAAAAGTGATTATTCAGTTTTTAAATATAATTTCTCCTGCCTATTTCATTAGTAAGTGCATTGGTATTAGGACAATAATTTTATAAATGTTAAGCTAGAATTAATTACTAATACTAATGTAGAATCCAGTACAAAAGTTCTGTTGCATGTAATAATCTGGGGAAGGTAGTGATGGGTATCACCTAGCACAGTTCATCAGGCTATATTATAATTTTCTGTATGTTTTTTTGTGTAGTATGTGAACACTGGCTGAGCATCACACTGAATAGCATTCTGTAGTGCCACAAACATTTCTTACATGGTTGGTATCTACAGGAAAATGTGTGTATAATAAAAATCCTGACTTAATTATTACATTTTCAATATCTAAGTAAAAAAATCAAGTCCCAGTGAATTTAAAGAAACAACTTTAGTTGGAAGTGTAGGTATCTGATGAATACAATATTTTTTGCTTTTTATGACTTGATTTGACCAGTTTTATATCACCTCCAAGGGGCATAGGAATGACCTATAGGCATATTAAAACTGAGGGAATTTATGATTAAATTTTGTTAGCCCATGTTTGCTTATTTTGAACTTCAGTTTGCCATTATTTATTTGTAAATATTATGCAATGGTTGTCTTGCTGATACATGTATTTGTGTGGCTACGCATGTGTGGAGCTGTTGGCTTCAAATTCTCAGTGATTTCGGATAATGGTTGAATATAATGATTGTGGGAAAAATTAAAACAGTACTTCTTCTAGCATGACTAAGGAGCTCTGGAGGGGAAGACACATTTGTTTAAACTGTATGTTAGCTAATTTTCTATAGAAAATGTTCGGACAGATTTTGCACTTAAGGTATTTGTAGATAAGACCAGGAATATCTATTACATGGGAATATCAAGGGAGGCCCTTTTTTTTATTTTTTTGTTTTGTTTTGTTGGGGTTTTTTTGTTTGTTTGTTTTTTGGTTTTGTTTTTTTTTTTTTTTTTTTTTTTTTTTGTGTTAAGCAAACTACTTATGAATTCCTGAGCTTTTAGTAGGTGGGAATTTAAGAGCCTAACCTGTAACTTTCTTTTCCTTTCTGTAACTACACAAGTCATTGTCCAGAGGTAATACCTTTTGGTACCACCACAAGATAAATTGAACCTCATAGTTCAGAAGTGAAAATATTCATATCCTGTATCTTATCAGCTCATAGACTTCATTAGAAGAAGTTGATACATATGAGTTAGTCATTCAGGTTGGGTGTGTTGCTCATCTGATCTGTTTTAAAGGCTGAAAATGAAGTAGTGCAGGAAGCTGTTCTGAAAGCAGTAAAGGAGGAGAGGAGAAATATGGAGAAGATTCATGCAGAAGAAAGAAAACTGTGGGAAGCAGAACGTGATAGTCATAGAGAGAAGATTGCCCAGGCTGTTTCAGAAGCCATGGAAGAGCAAAGAAAGCAGAATCAGGTTAGTATGTTTTACCCCTCCTTGCACCTCCTCTGTTACTTTTGAATGTCTTATGTTGTTGTTGTGGGTTTTCCTGTGACATCTGTCAGTCAGTTGATACTTGCAGTGCACAGCAAGCAGTTTATCTTCACCTTGACTGTACGTATGAAGAAAGTATGTATTTCTGGTGCATACAGAACAAAATTCCTGTGACCTTTACAGGTACATATATTAAAATTATATAAATCATACCTGGTTTTGTCCTCTGACTTCAAAAGGAGCTTCAACAAGCAGCTCAGAGAGTGGCATTTATGCTGTAAACAGTTTAGATGACTTCCATACCTGTGGAAGACTAAAGATGTTATATTTATTCCTTAGGAACAGGTACAAAATAAAGAGGAGGTTATAAAAACTGGAAAGTTAAACCAGTAATGAACCAGAAATGTTTCTAGAGTTAATCATAGGAGAGGTGCTTCTATAATAAGAATTGTATGTCACTTAACACAAATTAGAGGGACATTCCCAACAGTGCTTTCAGCATTTCTACAAATTACAAATTAAATATGTTATAGTAGCAATAAATTACTCTTCCAAAAGTTGAGTTTTGTGATCTGTGATGTTGGAAATACTTGGAGGAACAGCCTGTGAATTCACTGATTTCTTGATGACATATTCAACTGTTATAGCCTTCAGAAATTTAAGGAGCATATATTTCATTGATGTGTTGGAATTTGATACTGCTGGATTTTTTGTGCTGCATAAGAAAAAAACCCCAAAACTTAAGAATTTGAAGTAAAAGAAAAGTACTCTTTGGAAACAGACACAATTTCTATTTCCAGTGTTAAACAAAATTATTAACCTCATATACCTAATAAGCTACAAAAAAAAAATGCTTTGACGCTATGCCATTATCATACTCTGTATTGCCTAAATTCCTAATGTAAATAGAATGATTTATTTTTTTATATCTTCTTTACTTCTTTTAAATGTAAAGTATCAAATGGTAAAATGTCAATTTTCAAGAATTTCAGTGAGCCTTCAGGCAGTCAACTCTTCTTCAGAGCAGAAGGCTAAGCGGCTGAGTTCAAAGCTGAATTTTAACTGAGAACAATTTATTGGGCTTTAGATAAAAATAATTTAGGCTGTCCAGAATGAGAACTGGTACCAGTGGTGTAGAGAATGTATTCCTGGAAGGGAGAGTGGTAAAGTGTTTGATTACTGGAGTAATATCACATCTCGCCGGAGTTAATCTGGCTCTATCACTTCGGTCTGTGACAGAAGTGGGTCACAACCCAGGAGCAGGATGACCTGAGGTGCAACTAGAGCACTTGCTCTATGGCTTTTTGGCTGCCAGTCTGTGCTCTGAGGAGACAAGGATGAGAGGGAGGTCTTTTGTATGGGGTAATAGAGGACTTATTGCTCTGGGGAATCTTGGGGGCAAAAGACAGAAAATGCTAGCGTGCAACAGCTGAAATAGGGAGGCAGTTCAAAGGGAGGGTACAAAGCATCAGCTAATCAGAGATATCTTGGGGAGGGTAAAAGGCAGGGTTCACAAAATCATCATCCAATGAGGGAGGTAGGGGGGGAAAGTTGGGTCACATGGACTAATCAAGCGTCGAAGTTTAGGAGATTTCTGAAGTGGAATTCCAAGCATGCGGTGGACCTAAGACAAGATTGACAGGAGACTCAGGGTAGATTGACAACGTGGGGTGAAAGGGTCTCATTTGGACCAAACCATCAACTTAGATAATAACAGGACATACCATTAACAAGAAACACACTGCAACAGAGTAAGACAGCAATTCTATAGCTTGTGGAACATTCATAGATTAGTAGGAGGACTACAGTAACAAAGTTTGATGGTCCCTGGAGATTTTTCATGAAAGAAAATAGCTGGGTGCTAGAGTTCAGTCAGGATTCTGTAGTGATGAATTTGAGGGTCACTGTGTGTCAGTGTCCCAGATGTGGGAGGCATGTAGACTAAGCTGGGGTAGCAAATTTGGACAGGTTTGCCTTCCCTCTGCAAGGTGCTGCAGACTCTCTCATGGCTGATGTTGCCTTTGAAATTGTCACAAGACAGGATGACATTAGAAGTAGTTAAATAGTGATGGATATATTCTTTGATAAAATCCAAAATACACTGCCACGTCAGCATTTCCCTGAGAAGGCAGTTCAGGCCTCTCCAAGGGCCACGTTTTTCCACTCAAGCTTCTTTTAGATCAAGTAGTTCCTAGTGTGGAAGTACCTAGTGATGTACTTGTGATTGTGAGCAGTACTGAGGTGTTAGAAGCTCTTGTGATTAATTTTGCAGTAAATATCTTGCACTTTATGTAGTCCTTTAGTAGTGTCATTAGTTAACTGCATTTCTTTTAATACCAAACGGTTCTGACGACTTTTATTGTAACAGGAATAATTTCTCATATTTGGTTATAACATGATTATTTCACCTTCATGTCAGGTTCATTTTTCAAATACCTATTCTATTTTTAATTAAGGAAAAATGCAGATTTTTCTTGATATTTCCAAAATTCTATCACATATATCTATGAAATATATGAAGTTACACTCTTTATTCTCTAATTAATGAGTACAGATTCCCTGGGGAGGATGGACTTCCATGGACAAATTGGTTTCTTGGAGAAAGTTTCCCTTCTTCCTATGCCAAGAACTTGCAAATCTCCTTTAGGCTGTTGCAATTATAAGCATACACGAAGTACTAAAATTTTCTGTCAACAAAAGAAGTCCTGCAGAGCTGATGTGCCAAATGATAACTTATATGTGGTGTCAGATACGACTTTGGTTTAACAATGAACAGCACTTGGGCCTACAAGGCACTTCATGTGTGGGCATTAATTTTTTTCTGTGAAAATTTGAAGCCTTCCACACAGACTTGTTTCTTATTTATGTTTTGTTTTCTGTAAGATTTGTCTTATGGAAGCTATGGCTGCGCTCTTGACTCTCTTGCAGTTGTCATTTAGGCAATATATTAAGTCAACTCTGTAATGGCCTAAATACAAACACAGAGTCTAACACTTTAGAAAATAAAATGTAAAAAAATGCTAGAATAAAACTTTATTTTGCTGTAAATTATTTCAAAGAGATTTTCTTTATTGACTTTATTTGAACTAAAAAAAAAATTTAGCATAGTATTAAAGAGTCGTTTTCCTTCACTAATATGGTAAGTCTGCGAAATGGGAAGATCACAAAGTCTTCTGCGAATACGTGTGGCAGAATGGCTTACAGTCAAAGTGCCCATAAATAACTCTAGGAATACTTAATGGAAAAATTCAGAAACATTGAGAATTTTATTATTTTCTTTGAGATGCAAACGTGCAGAGAAAAAGGCATTTTCATCTCCATGGTGCAAGAGTTGATAAAAGATATGTTTTAAAAACTGTAGCACCACTGTATATCTGGAAAACATTTAAATTATTAAAAACAGGGAAAATAAATTTCCGTGTCAAAGTGGAATGAATTTTTTGGCTTCTCCTTTACCTTCTAGACCAGAGAAACATGATGTAGGAGTTTTGATTCATTGGTTTAAGAGTAATTTGCTATCCATTAATTTTCTTTATTAAAATAAAATATGTTGGCTTTTTCCACCAGTTTTTAAACACATGCACTAGAAGTTATATGGCTATATAGGTGAAAGCAAATGGAAAAAAATATTGAAGTATGGTTTGTTTACATTTCATTGATTAGGCAGTTTTAGCAGAAGAACAGTAAAGGTTTGAAGATCACACTTGTGCTGAATCAGGCAGTGAAATTTCCTGTCATCACCTAAGTAATTTGTTTAAAAGAAGAAAAGATGAGTGTTTCCTTTGAAGGCATGATATTGGTATTGTTTTAGACTTTTTTGGTGGTGTTGTTGCAGAGTGGCTAAGGAGGAGACCCAAAGAAGATGCAAATCTGGGAGGTATATGGAGATGCCTTCTTAGGAGATATTCTTGCTTAACAAAACTCTGTCCTTTAATAAAATATTTGTCCTCAGTCAAATTGTTGTCAAATCTGCAGATAAGGAAATACTATTTCCATATAAGATTTATTATACTAATTTAACATTGCCTGAGAAAAATCAGGAGACTTAAAGACAGTTTAATAAATAAATCATATTTAATATCAAATACTTTGTTACCAAATATGAAACAGCAGAGTAAATGTAAATTTACAGTGAAAGCGGGACCTAAGACATACTGAGTTAATATTTCAACTTGATGGAGCAACCTTGACATACCCCCTTCTTGTTTTTTTCTTTAAGAAATTAAAGGATTACAGTAACATGAATGTTGTTTTGTTGGATTTTTTATAGAAAGCTTTTCATTAAAGCTTTGACTGTTCCAGTGACTTCGGATCTTTCCTTAGAGACACGCTATCTGTACTTAAAATAAAGGTATTATTTTTTGAAGCCTTATCATTCTGAAGGTATAAATGAGATATTTTACATCACCAAGGAAATGGAAAAATGTTTTTTTAGAGCACTCTCTTGAGGCTGTGAAGTAGTAAAAGTCCAGATGACTTCCATTTTGTTTGAGACCTGGCAGCATCTTCAGATTTTAGAACTCTGTTATTCAGCTGCTTCATGCTTTTATAAGAGTTTTTTGTTGTTTTGTTTGGTTGATTTTTATTTTTTTTTTATTTAGAAGAGCATTCTCACTTCAGGGAAAAAGCAGGATTGCATTTTAAATCAGGAAGAACAAGCTCTCCTTGAAAAAAATGAGTAGTCTTTTGATTAAAGATTATGTTCATTTGCATAGGAACTTCCTTATCCTTTTACAGCTCATTGAAAAGTCATCATAGATTAGGAACTCATCTATTCAGATTGAGTGTAGCTTGGCATGTCTCCAGTATTTTCTTTTCTGTTTTTTTTCTTTTTCAAACTCCATTGTCTGGTGTTTTTTTTTACAGTTGCATATTGAGAGACAGCCAGCTATTCACCAGTCTTCACAGAAGTAATCGTGAACGCCGTTTATTTCTATCTTTAGCACACCTTTTATAGGGTTCTACAGGGTCTGCGGGCAGAG